TCCTTCTATCTTTATTTTTTTTTTTTTATCCTCTCTTTTTTTGGGTCGGCGGTAAACAGCAGCGAGGTTAATACCGCGATGAAAGAAATATTTTTCTGCAGGCGGGGCGCCTCCTGCTCCCCTCAGGACACTGGCTTGTGCTTCATTTCCTGGGCATTGCGCTGCTGCGTGCTATGCAGAAGTTCTGGACTTGTTATGAATACTCTATCTATTTGTCCAGAATAGAAAAGATCCATAGAAAGTTCATCAGGCAGACGGTGGATAAATCAGCACGGTGTGACAGGGACCCTTGGCATCAAGGATCCACCTTCTGAGGAACCCAAACCTGCAGCAGGGGCCGGCAGACGCTCAGCTTCAAAGGACAAACTGTCTGCTAGCGTTAACACATTTACGGCGTCTCAAAAGGACGGCGACTGAAAGGACGACCAGTTCTGTGTTTAATGCATCGCTGTTAGGAGCACAGGGCTTTAGCAGAAAGGGGAACGCCGACACTACCCCCACTACAGAAAAGCTCCAAATCAATTTGTCTTTGCTTTGAATCAATTACTGCAAAAAATCAAGATTATTGACCGGAAAACCAAAGGGAAACCGAAGTTAGAGAAAATATTCAGAGAAATTTGGCTCGGAACCCACAAAGCTCTGATCTGTTGATATCCAGGCAGTGGTGTTTATTAGCAGGTCCTAACAACATCTTCACCACACTGATTGATCCAAGGACCCTAACCCCCCCACACATTTTAGAGAAACACCAACAGTCATGTCAACCCTTAGATGATGGAGCAGTGAGGAGCTAACAGCAGCCACTAGAAGAAGGTAGGAACATAAAGCTGGGAACAACAGGCCTGAGACGCTTCTAGGCGTAAAAACAAAGACAGGTTTCCAGCAGACAGGAGGCCCCCTGCAGGCCTGATACCCACCTAGAGGTGCGACTCTCTCAGAGAGGCAGCAGAGGTACCATACCATTATCCAGGGAACATCCTCGGACAGGTGTTGCCACAGCCTGCATGCAGCAAAGTCAACTCAGCACTAAGAAAAACAGCTCCTTCTGCAGAAAACATGCAATTCCCCCTAAATGGGTCCAAAACGACGTGACGGCAGATGATTCCCTGAGCTAAGCTCCGTCACCAGTCAGGCTTTACCTTCTCCTTCTAGAAGGAGTCATGATTGAGTCAGTCACTCTCTCTCCAGCTTTCACACACACACAGAGACGAGAAGTTAAGAGGATAAGATGGGAGCAGCAGATTAAAGGCAAAGGCCAGGTTACCTGGACAGGATGGGCTCTTCCAGGCCTCTGCTCCTAATTGGTGAAATTAAGCGTCACTATACTTACTTGGCCCGCAAGCGGCAAACGAAATAATCCATGTCATGCAAAGCTTTTATATAACACCGCACAGCGCCTCGCAGGCGGCCTTCTTTCACTTTGTTTCAACCAAAAGCTGCAATTCTTTCAATTTCTATTTAACATGGCAGAGCCTTTTAAAGGGGGAAACGATGCAAAGCGATGCATAACTACATAATAACCTGCTGGGGCCTCTTTACTCTGGCATCCCTAAATAAAATCTGCTGGCTTTTGAAGTCTGTTTCCGACTGAGGCTGGGTCCTAATCCAGCTGTTCCAGAGGTTTGTTAGTGAACAACCAGCATCATGAAACCATGAGGAGCAGGTTGACGTCAGGGTTAACCTTCGTTACAGAAAATCAGCGGCTCCCCTAAACTAACGGAAGTTTCAGGAAGACGGCGAACAGAGAAGAAGCTGTGGGCAGAGGGGATTAAAGGAACCTTTAATCTGGCCTCAAACGGCTCCGACCATAAGAACGGATGAAATTAGCCCGTAAATATGGACGGACCTAAAGGCTGGTTGAAAAAACAAAACCCTCCAGTAAAGAGAAGATTCTCCAAGTGTTACCTTAGGGTGCTTAATTACATCGATACGCAAAACGTTCAGCTTTTCTTTCTGCAGACGTGTGGAAACCATAAATCCCTCGTTCTTCCACCAACCACTTCCTGTTGGTCGATCATGTGACATCACCATGAAACCTCTGAGGTCTGCCGCCGTCACATGGCGTAACCTTCAGAGGGAAGCTAACTCTCTCTCTCTCTCTCTCTCTAAACATATTTAATATTAGATTGTGACACATTTCAGGGAGAGTTTCTGCTACTGCACTGAAGCATTGTGGGTATTTTGGGTGTTTTCACATTTCCAGCAGTGGAAGGCAGTGACTGTTAACCACTGATCATTAGCCACCGTTTATATAAATAACTAAACAATCTATGAACAACAGCTGAACTGTGATGATGAAGATGATGAGTTAAACAGGAACCAACAGACAGACTAACCGACCAAAATGTCGGATCTTCTCTGCTCATCATAGAAATGTTAGGAAGCTGACAGAGCTTCTGATCTTCTGATCGTCTTCTGATCTGAACTTCCTGTTCGAGTCGTCTGAGCGCAGGAAGAAGAAGTGATGAAAGCGTGAACCATGCAAGTATAGCGTGAAATGGACTCACGGTGTGTGACGCCGGCGAGGGTCTGGTAGAAGGTGGGCGTGTCGCTGTCGTCTGTCAGCGTGACACACACTCCTCCAGAGAGAAGCCAGCGCGACAGAGTGAAGGCCTCCTTGTTCTGCAGGAGCCAGATCCTGAAGCGCTCATAGTTCACTTTGTCACTCTGCAGAAGAGAAAAAAAACACATTGAAGAGCAAATCACCACAGATACACGTCACCTGGCTGTGGAGGGGTGGGGTTAATTTCCCTGGAGGGTTAGGCATGACGGGTGAGTTAACCGAGACAAATTCAACAAACACTCATTGGAAAAACGTCTGATCTGAACCCGGAGCCATGAGAAGCTCCAGCAGGTCTAAATGTTCAACCAGCCTCTTTCTGTGAGCTCAGGCTTCAGGACAGGTTCAGCACCAAGGACAGAAACAGCCGCAGGAAGGTGGTGAATACAGAGCTCTGATGCAGGTCTGAGTCCCTACAGAACGCCTGACACTGGTGTCTTTATGTTTAATCAATAGTATGGAGCACAACGCTGGGATGAAGATGAAGATGATGATGACTGGAACACAGCTGAACCAGAGGGGCTGCATGAAGACAGACATTTATCATTAAGAAGGCTCTAAAACAGCCAGGAAATACTAGGGCAGCTGTGCGAAACAAACCGCCTGGCATTCAGTTTGATGAACTTGACCTCTAGAGGAAAGAGTTACTAATGTCCAGTCCATTAACAGGTTCTAAAAGGTTAGCGCATTCCTGCAAAAGTCTGGCTGCAGACCTGCCCTGTCAGGACGCTTCTTCCAAGCCTTCCCAGAGTAGCAGTGTCGCTACCGATCCATCCTGCGCCATCAGCTCATCCAGATCTACATCCGGGTCGCCCTCAATTTTATTTACTTAAAAAGACCTAAATTACGTTTTTACCTCGACAAAAACAGTAAGCATACTAAAATATAATGTGTTAAAGGTTAATAATGTATTTTCTGAGAAAATAAATGCATTAAAATCTGTTTTATTCCTCTGTTCCTGATCTGCACAGGAAATGGGATGCTACGCTACTTCCAGGAGCTAACTTTATCAGCTTTGGATTTAAACATAAATTAGTTTTTTTTTTTTTAGTTTAATGTTTTCTTTTTCTGTTAACATTATGCTATATGGTGTGTAATCTAAATAAAGCATAAACTAAAATGCAGATAAACAGAGTTTAATCAGATTTACTGCTCTGAGCGTGTCCCATGATGACGTCAGAGACGCTGTTTAACAGAGAAAATGGAAAAGGCATCAAAAATGTCTCAGAAAAGTCATAAAACATCTTTTCAAGATGTGGATTAGCGTTATTTAATGAGTTTATGATAGAAATAAGTAATTATTTATGTAAACCTGGATGCATATCTGTCCCTGCATGCGCAGGATGGATCGTGCTTCCGGGAGGGATCAGGTAGTGACACCTACGAGCTGCACCATTTTATCAGAAGAAGACATATATTTTGTGAGGTTCAAGTCCAAGAAAACCATGTTTTATCATAATTTTGGGGGATTTTCTTTGACTTATTCCAACATGATTTGTCTCTTACAGCCGGATGTTACAGTGTGATTCCTGCTGGAGCGTCACCTAAAGTTAAACGCTGCTGTGAAATCAACCGTTTAGACAATAAAAACACTTCAGAAAAAATTAAATAGATATTTCAAAGTTTTTTGTATGTCTGTTGTTTTTTCAGGTGTTGTGGGAAAAAAAACAGAAGTTATTGTCTATTATGTTCATTATCTGGGTATTCAGTAATTCACTGTGAATAAGCGAAGCTTAGTTCATTTGAAATCACTCATCCTCCACATGATAACCTGTGTGGTTCAATAGCAAAGGGAAGAACAGCGCAGACAATATTATAAGAATAAATAGTATAGAA